AGGTCCCTCTTCTCTGGTCCCATCTAACAATGCAATACTTATCACCGTTCTTGGTGTTTTCATTTTCCTCTTCCTTTTCTTTGTACTTATCCTAACATCAGATTAGTATTCATATCAGTACTACTAGTGTCTCTTTACCGTAGAAACCCATAGGCATTAAACATGTGTCTGTTTTGTAGTCATTGGCTACTCTATTATGTTAACTATTAGATTGTGACTGTTGCTGGAGACAGTACTCAACATACAGGACAGACTGGAGATAGAGCCTGGTGCCTGGAATACAAGTGTAACAATGAAAACATCACCACAACTGCACTATAGCCTTACTTCTCCTGAACACTGCAAACACATCCACCCAAAGACAAAATAACACCATCAATAACAAAAACTAATGCCTTAATCTAAGATGGGCAGATTCCAGTACAAAACCACAAGAGATAGGAAAACCCAGGACAACTTGTTTCTTGGAGAAATGGCTGATTTCAAGAGTGAAGTAGTTAACATAGAAGCAGAAACATTTTATATATCAGGTAGCAATAAGGGCCTTATTGTGGTTCCAACCTTCCTAATGCTGAGACACTTTAATACAGCTCCTCATGTTGTGCTGACCCCCAACCATAGGGTTATTACTTCATAACTGTAATCTTGCTACTGTTATGAATCATAATGTAAATATTTCTGGAGATAGAGGTTTGCCAAAGGGGTTGTGACCCACAGGTTGAGAACCACTGAATAAAGCTGACAAATATCTCTCAAGTTGCATAAAAAAATTGGGAGATTTGGACTGTCTAATTAGAGAATTTCAGCACTTAATTCTAAAGGTACCATTCTCACAACAACAACAATAACTTCAGGGAGGCTAAGTTCATTAACTTTAAGTCTGTTCATTCACGATGACACAAAAACCCCAAAGTGGACACATTAGGAAAATGCTAGGACACTTGAATCTATTTCTTTAATTAAAAACTTGGAAGTAAACAAGGAAGATTAAAAACTGCTCTGCCTTTCCTATAAAAGAAACATAACTGGGGGAAATGCCAGAGAAAGTTCCTCTAACATGGTATTATAACAAATGCACAAAAAGGAATGGTAGCACTGGCATATGACCACTCTGAAAATGCTAATGAATGAGGGGTTGAGCAGTAACTCAGTATCACACACATCCCAGGAGACCAACTCCCTGCAGACTCAGGATATTCACCAGCTTTTCCACAGGGAATATCCAGCACCTCCTGTGTAGTAGATTCTCACTAAGAGTTAAATGGATGGATATTGAATCCCAGGTGTTCAAGGAATATACTCCTTGGTATTTTGCATTGATTTATTAGAATACCTAAAGTGTTGTTTTGATTGAACAGGTCTTCCATAAGATCCCCTAGATTCCTCTGGCAAGTTGGTGGTAGGCTGGATGAAGAGCAGATGGCGGGGGGGGGGGGGGATGGCAGAAGGAGGCATATCTGGGATTGAAATTAACAAGAGCAGAGCCACAGAGGCAGTGGTTGACCAGGAGCCCCTGCCGTGGGCTTACCAGCTTTGGCACAGACCTCTCTATGCTCACAGGCTTTTAGCATTTGTGAAACTTCATGACAATTGTGTAAACATTGCCATTTCCACATGGCAGCCCAGAAAACAGGAGTCTCTAACATTGTGCATCTGTTGAGTTCAGTGCCATGATGGGACTCTCACCTTTGTATATCTGACTTCAAACCTTTTGAATATTAAGTCATGGCAAGCTTTTTCTAGATTTCTGGTTCCTTAAATGTGACCAGAAGTGATCACAATTATTCTAGGTTCCCCTTATGCAGGTAAAACTTAGCCAATATGCCACAGGTATCTATACACTAATGACACCGGGTAACACTGTGGAAATGCTTTGCAAATAACACAGTCCTGAGCAGATGGTGTAATTACAAGGTTGAAGGGTGTATCTCCCTTTTTAGTGGATGTACTCTCCCAATCAAATCTAAAATTGAGGAAAACTATTGTCTTCTAACACAGGTCTATAAATTGAGGTCACCCAAAGGGAGAGCTTTTTTTTTTTTAAAAGGGCATTTCTTTGTTGTTGTTGTTGTTAAGGGGTTATCTCTGTTGGTGCATAAATTGAAGCAACTGTCTTGATGTGTTTGTGGTACTGTGTTGTGGCCACAGGAGAGGAACCATTTAAGCATAGGAGAAGGAAAAGCAAAAACAGAATGCATACAATCAAATTAGGACTAGCTTCTAGTCCCAGGATAGTAAGTGAATCTGTCTCTTTCCACCTCTACATCTAGAAGGTGTCACTGACAACTATGTCTCCATAGCAATCAATGGTCTTTGAAACCTTGCTTCCCCAGTGTGTCGTAGGCTCAGGGTGACTGGTTGGCAGGGCTTATTGAGGGATGCTGTTAGGAAGACACTCTAAGAGATGTGCCAATCCAGGTCTTTCCCAGGGAGGAGGAACCTGGGTTTATTCACGGGGTTTCCCCCAGGTGCTGACAGCCCCAGTCATATTTCATTTGAGTTTCTTTCAGTGCAGCAGGGCAGTAATGAGCCTCAGACCTCGGCCTGTCTTTTGTTAGGGGGACTTCTCACTGTGAGCTGAGTGCTCTATTCCCAGGAGGGAGTGCCTTTCTAGAGCTACAGAAAGCTAAGGCTGGAGGAGGAGACACCTGCTGGAGTGGGGCAGGGACTGGAGACTAAAGAAGGAAACTGGCAGCCAATAAGGGGACTGCACTCGCCCTGCTGGGCCGGGACAGGTATTTCTGAATGTGAGCATTCTTCCATGCCTTTGTTTCCCCCTAAGAGGCTACATTCCATCTGTGACTATCTAAACATGGTGAAGGAAGTTCTTCTCTCTTGTTTCAGCTGTCCTCCAAACAGGAAAGCTTTCTCTGTTTTTCTAGATGGATCAGGTATGAGCACTCCTTCATCTTTCTGCATAGGCGGTTGCTTTTGGATTTACTTCTACACAATTTCTTCTCTGTCTTTCAAGGCTTGAGACTTTGCCTACTGTTTCTTTATGGATAGAGGATGAATAGCAATGTGAGCCAGATGGGGATTAGGGAGAGGCCATCAGTTCAGTGGCCTGTCTTCATCCTTCAGAGTTCAGGTGTATGGTCCACCAAGGTTGAAGTATGGCTTGTGACATTATTACTCATGTTAGGGAAGCAGACAAGTTACGTGACCAGGGTCCAAACTTCCTGTTGACCAGGACTGACAATGTTTTCTAGCAGCTTTCTGGGAGGCTAGCCAGCAGTGGTTCTGCCATGAGCAAGTTGGTTCTTGCCTCTGTTGGCTAATGAAGATGTTGGATTTCTCTCACATACCTATGAGGTTTCCTACCCCTTTGTGATGGGCTCATTTGAGGTGGGGTAGAGGTTAGAGGAAAGTTTTCAGAATTAATGGGATCTTGTGTGTTATTTGATGTTTTTCTATGTTGCTCTAGAATCCTTAAGATTTCAATTCTTAAGCTGTAATGTCAAACATTTACATCTGGAGCTAGCAACTGTAGTATCAAAATAGTGCAGGGTGATGTCTATGACATTTTACCGTAACACCTCCTGCATTGTTTCTCAACCGGGGAAAGTTAATGACTTGGTTGGCAACATAGGGAGTGAACATTTTACACTGAGCATGAGTAAGAAGTTAATTTCTGCCCACAAAGGTGAATGAGATTCTTGGATCTGGGGAGCACTGAAGTAATCCTGCACTTTATCCTTTAGTCTCATGCTGAGAACCTCCACGAACAGAAACAAAGGCAGAATTGGGGCTCCATTAAAGGCCCTGGAGTCTGACAGGTCTGGCCAGAAGGGATAGTCTCTGTCCCCAGTCATTTGGAAATTTGGACATGTGAATTAAACTCTTGGACATATGTTCTCACAGGTCACTTTGCAGTTTAGTGAAGTGTCTAAAGAGTCTTCACACAGTATTTGGACCTTAGGATGTGATCAGTGAGTGGAAACAGCCAGTTGTTATCTTCATGTTAGAGCATAGATTGGCCACTCATTCCTCTGAGATCCTAAAGTAGGGAACTTGACTCTATGACTTCCTATACCTCTGATTGTCCAATGGTTCAAGTGATGGTGCCCATACCTGCCTCTACTTGTCATTTAATCCTGAGTACTCTGTTTAGGAAATAGCCTTCAGGATATGTAACATGACAAATAAATGACCCAGAGACAGATATTGAGGTTTAAGCTTCAAGCTGAAGATCAGAAAAGCAAAGTACTAGCTCTCACTTCTACCTCAGCTCGGACCAAAGGGGAGAGGCTCAAACTGTTCCAAACTTCACTCCTCCTCAGATTCACTCAGACTGCTATGCTCTCCTCAATGTGGCTAGAGACTAATTGTTTCTCATGAGATCCTTTGCTTTTTATACCTCACTAGTGCTGGGATTAAAGGTGTGTGATCTCAAGTGCTGAGATCATCTTTGTGTGGGCTGTTTCTCTTTAGGGTTGGATCAATTTGTGTAGCTCAGTGTGGCCTTGAATTAACAGAGATCTTCCTACCTCTTAATCCTGAGTCCTGGATTAAAGGTGTGTACCACCACTGACTGATCTCTATAGCTTGAGGCTGATTTTGCTTCTGAATTCTTAGGCAAACTTTAATAAATTATAAATATATCATCACAGGGATAATTGTATTACAGGGTTTTGTAAGGGCCAAATACAAAATTGTAGCACTAGAGATGAAAATATCTATACAGGGTCACTATCACTACTATTGAAGGACTTCAGAAATTGTATTTGTTTGCTGTGGAAGGCTTAGGATCAACCATATCCACTGCAAGGTACAAGTGTGTCCTGGGCTGTGGAAAGTGGCTGTGGAGAGGGCCTGCTTGATGTGGAGAGGCCTGCAAGATATGGACATTAGTCACCTCACATCTGTGGAACTACTGAGGTGTGCAGGTGACCCTGAGAAGCCTGAGCCAGGTGCCAGCCCCCAGGAGGCACACAGAAAGTAGGAAACAGACAGGGTGCCATGCAGTTAGCACAGCCGTGTTAACTGTCTGTGTTCTCCAGTGCCAGTGCACTCCAGGACGGCTGATAAAACTCCCGCTGGTGTCCTGGGACCACTTGAAGATGCTCCGCTGGCTTCTTATTTTCTCTGTTCTGGGACTCCTAGTGTGTGGTAAGTTTTCTTTCTTCTTACAGGAGTGCTTTTTCTGAGTGACACACACTGTCCTTGTGTGGAAAAAAAAGATGCCCCCAGTGTTGTCTTTACCAGCGCACGAATGGATTTGCCATTTGTTGCACTGCTCTGGAATTGACAGACTGCCATCAGCGTCCTGCCAGATGCTGTGATCCTCCACAAGTTAGTATAGGAGTCATGACTGCATTCATGAAATAAGTAAGATATCAGTCACTTATTAGAATTGATTTTTAATCAATGATTTTATTTTTTATTTATTCTTTGTATCTTTCACATCATGCCTCCTGATCCCAACCATCTCCGTCCCCACCCCAAGATAAAACAAAGTAAAGTTTAATACAAAAAGAGGGAAAAAGAAAGAAAATAAATGAAGAGTGGAAAATATTGTCATGGAAGCTGCAGTGTGACACAATGAGTCATGCAATAAAACCCCTTTATCCATTTATTTTTAGACGCAGGTGTTTATTGAAAAGAATCACCCTTCTGTTATTGAGGATTCAATTAGGTATTTGTATTGATTACTTTTCTGTGACAAAATATTTGAGAGACGGTTTATATATATATATATATATATGTATATATATATATATATATATATACACACACACACACACACACACATACATACACACACACACATACACATGCACGTGGGTCCGTACGTGCGTGCGTGTGTGTGTGTGTGTGTGTGTGTGTGTGTGTGTGTGTGTGTGTCTAACCATACGGGTAGGAAGACATGATAGCAGGAACTTGAGGCATTTGATCATCTGTTTCCACAGCTGTGATGCAGAGAGTGATGAATGCAGATACTCAGCCTCCTCCTATTTAGTGTGGTACCCAGCTGCTTAAAATAAGGGCAGAGCTTCACAGTTAACTAACCTAATCTAGATAATCCTTGTGGACATGCCTAGAAACTTGTCTCTTCAATGATTCTAAATCTAGTCATTTTGACTATAAATGTTTAGCACATAATTCAAATCATGAATGTGAAGCAATTTGTAGCTCTGCCTCATCTCACCACCACACCACCACCAAGTTAACACCAGCCCAGGGTTTACATTTGTAAATAAATACCAATAATGCTGGTGCAGGGCTGCCTTTACAACAACAATATGTTTATCATTTTATAAAGTGATTAGACAAGAAGTAAATATATGTGAATTTTGTTGGATTAAATAGACCTGGATTTGGCAATTCTTAAATGCTGAGCATGTTTGCATGTTGTCTGACACAATTTAGCTATCTCTTTGCATTCTACCCTTAGGTAGACCTATTACTACTGGGTTACATGGAGTTGGTGTTGGAGAAGCTCACAGATCAAAGAATGCATAGTTGAGTTTTTTCCATGTTGTGTGTGAGGACACTGAGGCCTGATGGGGAAGTGACTTGCCCAAGTGTGGCAGGGAGTTGGAATTAGCCCTCAGCCAGTTGCCTGGTTCTACTTTGTATGTGTAGTATGCAATGGCTGATGGGCAATCTTTACCACTGAGGATACTGTGGGGTTTTATTGTCCCAGTCTCCTGCCCCAGTGAGGCTTTCATTATATCTATTTTTACTCAACCCACCCCTTAGGGTCACTAGAGCCTTCTCTGTCCCTAATCAGAACAATGTTTCTTTCCCTGGGTCACCTGCATATCTACCAACAGATCCATGGGTAACATCATAAGGCCACATACTGAGATGGTTGTCATGATCTTGAACAAACTTAATAAATTTATGAAGTATATACCAGTTCTTGAGACAGAAATATATGTATCACTGTGACTGTCCTCAGAGACAGAATTTAATAAAGATCATTTTCTTTTGGCTCATTTGTGGGTCCTTACACCCCTTGTTGAAGATACAAATAGGTTCCCAAATAGATGCAGCAGTCGCTCCTGCTAGCCAGGAAACTTGACAAAGCTAAGTACAGATCCAGGTGAGTACTGAGCCCAAACTGGGCTACAGAGATGAGTTGTGGGTGATGAAGCTCCCTCCAGGGCTTCCAGATGCTATAGTGGAGGAGCAAGTGTATTGAGTATGGTCTGTTATATGATGATCTGTGGTCTCTCTTACAGGCAATCCTGCCATAGTTTCCAGGAAGGAGTGGGGAGCCAGTTCACTCACCTGCAGAGTCCCGCTGAACCTGCCTGTAGACTACCTCATCACAGAGCAGCTTACCAGGATGGAGTGCCAAGATCCGACTACCTGCAGCCAGATGTTGCGGGTCCTACAGTCCCATTCTGTCTACAACAAAGGCTGGTGTGATGTAGCCTTCAAGTAAGAGGCTGGTCAGGTCTTTAAATGCCACACTCAATGCTAAACCTTGCAGTGTTCTTCCTGTTTTCCTTATTCTGTATCTCCCATTTTCTGGGCTTCATTTTTGTTGCATTTGTGATGACTGAAAAGTGTTAGAAAAAAGAATTCAAACAAAATCCAGAAGTCAGTAGGAGGAACAACCCTGAGCCATGTATTCAAGGGTGCTTTTATGCTGGGAGATCCTGAAAGGACACACAGAAGGTTACAGAGCTGCAGGCACCCACAGGGGCTCCCAGCACGACAATTCACATAGGTCTTCATTGCTATTATCCAATTAGGAACAGTAGGGGAAGAGAAAGGTTATTGTCTATATCACCTAAATGAGAATGTCAGTCTATGGACACCAAAGAATTTGTTTAAAGTGATACATAGCATGGGGTATGGATTCAGAATTGTGTTGAAACTGTGTATTTATATGGTCTACTCCCCTTCCCTTCCAGTCAGGGCTCATACCCATGAAGTATTTTCCTATTTACTATCCTGAATGACTACAGGGTATCACAAGGCGATAAGGAGGCATGGGGATTGGTAGGGAGGAAAGCCAATGTTAAAATGAGTGTAAGGCATGAAAGATTCTTGTATTATTCAGTGAGGATCCACTTTGAGGGTTCTATAGAAGGCTCCAAAGTTTTTCTCATTACCCTCAAGAATTAGAAAGCTCACACATATATACGAAGAGGAAGAGCAGGGATGGGGTGATGGGAGATGTCATTCTGTAAATATGTTTCTCTTATTGGTTAATGAATAAAGCACTATTGGCCAATAGGAAAGCAAGATAGGCAAGACTAAGAGACAAGGAAGATTCGGGGATAGATAAAGGAGAGATTCAACATGTAGGACTTGAGAGGTCTGGACCCTCTCTCCGATAAGATGAGACCATATGGAAATACTTAGATTGATAGAAATTGGTTAATATTTAAGACAGAGCTAGCCAATAAGAAATACTAGTAACAGGCCAACAGCTTTATATCTAATACAGCGTCTCAGTGTGTTATTTGGCGTGGCAGTGGTAACAATGGGGGATTGAAAAGACAAATAGAAATAACTTGCGAAGTATCCATTTTGGAAAGGATAGTCTATGTTTCTACACATTTTCAGTTTTAAGCCTCAATAAGTAAGAGCAGCTGGAGACTGGCTATGCCACCTGCATCTGTACATTGTTACCAGGGACCCCTGGTCAGCCTTCCGTGGAAGTTGTGTTGACTTTATTAACTACAGTTTATCTTCCCATCCCTGTACCCCATCACCCCCACAATTGTCCCCCAAATGTTGCTTATTTCAATCATGGTGTTTCTCGGTGGTTTCAACTGCTCTGCCTCTAAAAATCAGGTTTCTGCGGTGACAATGTACACCTCATTTTGATAGTGTGGTTCTGCAGCATAGGGGTGTTGACATTGAACTAACCAAGAACTCTGCAGAAGTAACAGGGGAACCTGCTGGAAACACCACAAAGCAGAGAAATTGTGGGCACACTTCAGGCACCAGCCGATTCTCAGTGTCAGGTGAAAGAGCTCCAGATGAGCAGGGACTTTACTTGACCTTGGAGAGTGTTCTTTCTGCCTTCTGTTTGCTTTGGAATTCACTGTCGAGCAAACCGCTGAATATAATGAGAATAATGAAGCACCATTTTCAAGACAGATTGGAAAGTAGAGAACAGCAGAAAGAACAGAAATAAAAGAAGGGTAGAATAAAAGAATATAGACATGATTAAAAACAAACTTAATAAAATGAAACAAAACAAATTTCTGTGATTTAAGAGTCTACAGGAACCTGCAAGGAGTCCATTTAAAGAAACTCCTGAGTTATAGTTAGTTGTTTTAAAGAATGCTCAAGTGCTTTGTCCTATAGTTAAAACCAAAAACTAAAAGCATTGTGGACTAAGCTGGGTGTAGCAGAGTATGACTGTAACTCAGCTCTTAGGAGGCTGAAGCAGGAGGACTGCTGTGACCTCAAGGCCAGCTTAGGCTACACAGTAAGTTCCAGGTTAGCCTAGATAACAGGGAGAGATCATGATTATGTTTCAATGCCTGCCCACAGCAGCAGCAGCAACAACAACAAAACAACAAATCAACCAGCAGGCCCTTGAGAAGATGGGAGTAATTGTCTTCAGGTCCTGGAGAGTCACACATTCAAATTCCATTTGGAACAAAGTTTTTTTTTTTTTTTTTTTTTTTTTGAGAGTCTGGAAAATACCTGTAATCTATGTTGAAACCAAAATTGAAATATTCTTATTTCTTTAGGAGGTCTAAAATTGTCTGTTTTGTTCTCCATCATTATGTTCTTGAAACTTCAATTTGTTATGAGCCTCTAGGACAACTTTAGGAAAGTGAATTTTCTTGATACAGAGGTTTACCACTAAATCTGCATTTTTGCTTGGCAGCTTCCTGATTGGGGATGATGGCAATGTGTATGAAGGTGTTGGTTGGCATGTCCAAGGCTTGCATGCTCAAGGCTACAGTAATGTCTCCCTGGGCATTGCCTTCTTTGGCAGTAAAATAGGTAATGGTAATCCCCTTCAGACTCAGAAGGTGGCCTCCACCCTCTTTCTACCTTCTTGCCCAACACGCATCTTTTCAGCAAGCCTTGCACTTTCCACCTCTGATAATCACTGTTTCTGAAAGTCCTTTCTGCTGCTGCACTCTGTGACATGAAGTTTGTCATCTTTCCTGTTTATATATTGCTGCAGCTGTCACAGACAATGAGTTCACAGTATGGCCAATGGAATCTGAATCACCTGCCACTGGTATTTTAATTGCCAGAGCAGACAGAATGGATTATTTTTTCTTTTAGCACCTTTTGCTGACAGAGATAAAAAAGAGGTCAGCAGGCAAAGTAAGAGAGTCAGAGAAGTAGTTTTTCACAACCAGAGCAGAGTAGAGTGCAGGTGTTGAAGGCTAATACGTCAATAAGAGGTATCCACCATTCTTTACTGGGGATCTTAATGGCAAGAATCATGTGGGTTAGCAGATATAAGTGTTTAAGGCATGTCTGATCCTGGCGCTTACTCAGTAAATACTGTCAGGCTTCCCCACAGGTTAGGGTACCTCTGATTTTTCTCTCCTCATGTATCTTTCATCTGATTTTTAATCTTCTATTTAAAGGCAGAATAAATAGTCTCAGTTTGATCCTTAGAAGAGGTTCCTAATTATGGTTGCTTAGAGCTCTGGCCAAGTAGTTAATCTCTCTCAGGCTTTCTGGCTGTCTTTCCTCTTCCCATCTACCAGTCCCTTGGGTCAGGTGTTATCTTGGCCCTCCCTGTTGCTGCTGTCCAGGCTGGAGTTCCTTACTGACAGTTTTTATTTCATGTTATTCTCATGAAGGCAGCAACCCCAGTCCTGCTGCTGTGTCCGCTGCAGAGGACCTGATCTTCCATGCCATCCAGAATAGTTACCTATCGCCCAGGTACATCCAGCCACTTCTCTTAAAAGAAGAGACCTGCTTGATTCCTCAGCATTCAGAGATGCCCAGGAAAGGTAAGGCCCTCAGCTTAGCTCACACATCTTTGCATTGCCCTCCAACTACATTTGGGAATGCTGTTCTGTTAGGCCCTCAAGAGTTTCTTGGACGAAGAGCCTCTCAAATGTGCCATAACTATGAAATCAGGAAGTTATTTCTACATTTTCTTTTGTCATTGAGGATTCAGTCAGGGCTTGAACATGCTAGACAAGTACTCCACTACTGAATGACATCCCTATTACTTGGAGAAGTTGAGGAGACATTTTCCCCTGGCCTTTCCATCCCACCAGAATGGTACTGTCACAGACCAATTCTTGTCACAAATATATGTATGGTCATGTTTTACTGAGTCTACAAGAAGCGTGAAGTCTTCAGATTTATCATACATCCATAAAACAAACAAACAAACAAACAAACAAACAAACAAAAAAAAAAACAGACAAAGCTCTTACCATCAAGGAACCTGTGATCTGGTGAGAAAAGTAAAAACATGAGAAAGTATGGAAGTGAGAAGTGAAAGTGAGATGTGGAATGGAGTAGACGAGACATATTTACACATTGTGGGAACACATGCTCGCGTGCACGCTCGCGCGCGCGCGCGCGCGCACGCGCGCGCACACACACACACACACACACCTTTCCAAAACCAGCCAACCTTTTCCATGACCATGGTGCTTAGAAAAATTTACACTTACAGGCATTGATAATATTAGAATGATTATTCCACGAAAACAAATAATGAGAATAATGTGCTGGTTTGGAAGGAGTGGTCAGTAAACTGAAACCAATAAAATTCATATGCTACTTTCAGTAGCTTAGTTCTCTGCTAACACAGCCTTCTTCTCTGATCCAGCGATATTTTAAAATTAATTTTTTGAAATTATAATTAAGTTTTGAAATAAAAATTGTCTTGTTTTTGGTCTGATAGTATCTTCAACAATGATAATTGGTTAACATTGTGAGTTCTTGGTAGAGTGTGTATTATTTCTACATCAACCCCATTAAAGAGTGAGCTGATTTGCACATATCCACTTTATTATAAGGCATGCATATGAACATGTGGGTATCTTGTGATGTGAAGAATATAGTCATGCCTCTGTCTGTCCAGTCTGTCTCTTTCTGTTTTCATATTGGTTCTTACATCATTAAAATCCATGCTTTTTGCTCCAGTGTCCTGGTCTGGGCACCCGGCCTTTCCAGACTCCTGCCAAGTTCACATACAGGACACTGTCCAGAGACTGGTGTGAATGGGCCTCTGGCTCATCCGCTTGGTTTTCCCTTTACTGCAGCATGCCCCACTATCACTCCACGGTCTGCTTGGGAAGCCAGAGAGACACACTGCCCTCAAATGAACCTCCCAGCCAAATTCGTCATCATCATCCACACTGCTGGGAGAAGCTGCAATGAGTCTGTGGACTGCTTGGTTCGTGTCAGAGACACACAGTCTTTTCACATAGACCACCAAGACTTCTGTGACATTGCCTATCAGTAAGTGGGAAACAGCCCTTTTTCTTCGGAGCTGTGGAGAGCAAAGCTGGGGAGCTCAGGTGTTTACATAGGAGCTGTGGAGCTCAGGTGTCTTATACAGTCACCGTACTTTATTATTGTAAGAATCTGGACTGGGTATCACTCAGGCATAGTTTGGGCTATGTTCTTCAGTTCTTCCAGATCAGAGAGACTGAAAATACTGCATAGGAGGCAGTGAGGAAGACAGGAAGGGCAGAGTAGGGGTGTGCCTTAAGTACCCTGTTCTAGCCGACAAGGGGTGATGGTCATGGCCAGCTTCAACTTGTTCTCTCTGATGTTAGAATCTTATGAGTCTTTTGTTGCTTGCCACACAGGACTTTTAATCCCTTTGGGCTCCTTTGTCTCATCTTTACAGTAGGGACAACATTTTCTGTTAAAGACAGGGTGCGAGATCAAATATTCTCTTCTGGTTCCTTTCATATCAGCACTGAATTAAAGAAACACATTAATCAATGAGATACAGATTTGGAGAGATTTGGGAGATGCCTTTTACTTTTCATAGGTAGGACTTAGGGTTAGTATACAAGAGACCTCAATCATTTATCAGGGACTTAAACAATGAATCTTGTGACTAGTTTCACATGAGTTTCCTTCTGCGGTGTGTCACTGATGCTCTAGCAGTGCCTGTCATCTCCCTCTCCCTTTCTCTTTGCTAAGGGCAAAGGAGAGAGACTGAGGAGGTCATTGGCTGTGGAGGCCCAGAAAAGAGAATGCTTCAGGACCAGAATGGTCAATGGTCAAAATGCCCATTGCTCATAGTATGCAGGAAGTCTATAGCCATCTTGGTTGAGTGAGATTTAGTGCTGGGGTTGGAGGCACAGTATAGAGCTGTGATTTTGCTTCTGATTTCTGCACATTGGCACACACAGGGTTTGCAGGCAGAATGTGGTAAATGGATGAAAGGACAAATTAATGGAGAAAGGAGTGACTGGAGAAAATTGTGCTCCTCAGACTTGCTGTTTTCTTACCCAATCCTAGCTTTCTAGTGGGCCAGGATGGTGGAGTATATGAAGGAGTTGGCTGGCATATCGAAGGCTCTCATACCTATGGATATAATGACATTGCTTTCGGAATTGCTTTCATGGGAAACTTTGCAGGTAAGACATTAGCAGCATCATGTGGAATACTCAGAAATCACTGGGAAAATGGGGACAACATTGTGACCCTGGGAGTACATGGTTGTATCAGCAGAACATTTTAGGAAATTCTTGGTAAAGGGTGACTGCAACTAGGAGCATCTCCCAAATAGAATTATTTGCCCCCAGTTCACTGACATCCACCCCAAACTATCTCACTTTATGTCCATACCCAAGGCAAGCAGGGAGCAAAGGAGGAAAAAATGTCTTTTGAAAAATTTGTTATTTTTATGTCTCATGTGGGAATTGTATGTCCTTCCTTAGTAACCATGGCAACAATGCTGGATGCATCATTGCCTGTGAGGACATAGCAGAGGATAATTCTGTGAGCTCTGTCTGTTCCACACATACTGAGAAATTATGCCAGGCCAAGTGTTCTATTCCAGGGCAGTTTTGAATTTTCTAAAGAAATTTTAGCCAAATGGGATTAGGAAACACAATAGTTTTGCCGTTGCATTGTGCCTAATTAGTTGTTGGCCATGGTGATTGTGGGACAGACCAGGGTGGGAGATGGGGAAGACTGATATCTGGGTGCCCATCACTGCCAGAGGCAAGCATCTTTGAGATCTTAATGATTACAGTCAATGTGTTTTACAGAAAAACCTCCAAATGCAGCAGCTCTGGAAGCAGCCCAGGACCTGATCCGATGTGCTGTGGCCGGGGGGTACCTGACCCCCGACTACTTGCTAATGGGTCACAGTGATGTGTCCAACATCCTGTCCCCTGGACAGGCATTGTATGACATCATCAAGACGTGGCCTCACTTCAAGCACTGAGGGTGGCCTGAGTCCCATCTGAGGATGCTTTTTCTGTCCCCTGCTTTCTTTACTGCTTGCCTAGTGACCCTTTCTTGTGTTGCAGTTACAGCATCCTCTCTTATTGACATGCTCCAGTGTCTCCCAATCTCTGCCCTCAGGGGCTGGGTGCCACTTCCTCTCTTTACCTTCCTCTCCCACCGGTTTAGCCAGTGAGGCTCCCTTTCCCTTGTTACCTGTCCCTTGCCTTGTATGAAGTCACCTATGATCTGTCTGGTAGCTCCAATGCTCATGCACAGCCCCAGCCTTCCTCTGCACATACCCCTATTGAACACATTTGAACGTTCCCTGTATTTAAGGGCTGAGGTACCCTTCAGACATGTCTGGTCTCTCCTGGGTTATCAGATTTCCAGGACAGCAGCTGACATTTCTTTGTCACTACATATCCCGCATCAGCTCCTGACACATTGCATGCTACAGGTGTTTGATGAAAAAAAAAGAAAACATTGGACAAAAAAGAGCTGATCCCAGTCCCTTCCCACCTGCCCACTTTGTTTGTTACTGCTCTGTGGGAAGCCCTGATGGACAGGGCCAGCAGTCTACCCTGGTGCCTCCAGGAGGCACAAGCTGGCTGAGGTGACTTGTCTGTAATGGATTCTGTGTCTCCAGTCTACCATGCCTTGTCCACAAAGCACTTTGAAGACCTGCCAAGTAGTGTCTGTGGTCTGACCATGCCTGGGACAGATTTCCAAGCAAGGGTGAATTTAAAACTTCCCATACAGGAAGTAGTCATAGGGTAGTTATGAGATGCTAAGAAATAGCCTCATCCAAATCCACCTGCCACAGTTGGAATGAACCTCTTGACATTCACCTATTAGAAGTCCAATACCTGACAGGCAATAGTGCTGAGATATGGGCCTTTTTAGAGGTAATCAATGCATTAATGTTGTTATTGCAAAAGTGAGTTTGCTATAAAAAACGAGTGTCATCCATGTCATTCATCCCCCCCACCACCACCGCTCTCCTGGGCTTTCCCACTCTGCCAAGGGATGATAGGCTAGAAGGCCTTGGCCAGATTCTGACTTCATAGTGTTCAGACTACATGAAATAAATCTTTGTTTTTTGGTAAATTACCCGGTTTCAAGTGTTCTGTTAAAGAAGCACAAAATGGACTGACATCAATTTTGATTTATTGACTTCTCTTTCTATCCTCTGAAGTAGAGGTCCCTTTTTTTTTTTTTTACTTAATCCCTACTTCTAGGCCTCAAGGGCTCATTGGCTTTTGTGTGTGGGAGATTATAGGGTCCCCTGCCTCTGTCATCTCTCACAGAGGCCTCCCCATGAGGCCTGCATGGTCTGGGTTGCTGTTTATTCCAAATTGTCAAACTTTACAGATTTTTTTAAATATATGCTTTAACTAAACCCAGAGCACTCAGCTGGCAAGGGCCTTTTCAAAGTCGGTTCTGAGAAATTCTTCCTAGCTCCCCATCAGTCACTTAGAGTAGAGGGTGTACTAATAGCAGCCTCACATGCCTGATGTGAGAGCTAAATGAATGGATGTGGGTAGGAATCCAAGAACTCACTCTTGGCGTTCAATCACTGTTCAGCCGAGGCTTGCACAGGCACAGTCGTGTCGTCACTGTCTGAAGTGTGATTGCCTCTGTCTTTTAATCCTGTTGAGCTGGGGCCTCTTGGCAGTTTATCCCTCCTCCTGTCTCAGTCCCTGCCTCTCTGGGGGCTGTGCCTGCTCTTTGTGGTAACCTCTCCAGGGCCTCACCCAGGGCCAGGCACATTATTGGTGCCAGCTAAGTGTCTGTGGAATGAAGGATGGGTGGGGTTTTCAGGGGAGGGTTGTGGCTTTCCACTTAAGTCTTGCATACTTGCTGCAGAGTGGAAAATCCCAGTGTTTTTATGGCCCAACCCAGCCCACTTGCTGTGATTTGCCAGATTCACTACAAGTTAACTCCCTAAATCTAGGCCACTTGTGGTGGCTTCTTCACCAGATGTGAGAGCTGGGGAGTCTGTGTGTGCCCCCACTAGGCAGTCTGACCCTTTCACTGTGGTGGCCTCAACCTTGGAAAGCACGTGGCCTGTTGCTGCTGTCCTGTGTGATGTGCCTCCCGTCATGCCCCCATGCCTCCCCCTTTGCCCCCCGCCCCCCCCCCCCCGCCTGCCCTGTCTGCACTTGTGCATCTTTCCCTCTACTGTTTCCATCTTTGCTGTTCTCCATCCCCATCTTCACCTACCCCCATTTCCCGTTTTTTCTGTTGCCTCTTGAGGGTCTCACTTTCTGTCTCTGCATGGCCCTCTGGTCACTGCCTTTTTCTTTTCTCTAGGATGTGCTAGAATGGAAAGGGGACAGGATGGCAGGCAGGTGTGGTGGCATCAAACATTGGCTCAAGAGATGCACGGGGATCATCTTCCCTCTGCCCCTAAAATTGCCTGTGCTGCTACCACAGATGCTGACACTAGGAGGAGAAGGGCAGAGGGCCAGGGTGTAGTGGTTCTGGGGAAGGTGTACGTCCTTTTCAGGAGCTTAGAGGCAGGCAGAGCAGGTCCAGGTGTGTTTCTGGTCCAGCGGGTTCTGCCAGGCTGGGCTGAAAAGGGCAGGGATTTACAGCTCATTTTGAAAAGGGGGAAGGAGTTAATCACATGGAAGGAGTGGTGGGAGAGAGTGCAATTCCTGGGAGGGGTGGCATAAACTTTTGGAGGTCTTTCTACAGAGGACTGAAGTAAGAAGTGTCTCCTCCTGCGCAGGAAACCGGGTGGGGGAAATCCTCCAAGAGAGCTTGGGAGGCCTTTGCAGGGAGGCTGGAGGACCCTGTGACCCAAGTGATACAGCTGTTTTGGAGAAAAGCCCAGGAATTCCCCCACTGACATCTGCACTCTACTTGCATCCAGTCCCAAAAGTCTGAGTCTTAAGATCCCCACGTTAGGATTGACCTGTGTTGTCCTTCTACACCTTGTTTTTAATCCCCCCTCTTTCCCTGAATTCCATCACTTGATTTTCCCACTAGATTATAAACTCTGGAGTGTGGGGTTGGGGGACATTTCCATGACCTGGAACACAGTAGGGTTTTAGCTCAAACCTCAGACTTTCTATATCTGAAGATCTAGGGAATGTGAGTGGCCATTGTCTATTGGTCTGTCTTGGGCAGGTGATAACTGCAGTTGGTTTTTTTTTTTTTTTATGGGTTTGTGTTTGCCCAGCCCCTCTGGGCAGATGTGAAGAAGGACCCTAGCATGCAATGAAGAGGTCAGAGGGAAAATGAGCAAAGGCCAAAGTGAGTTGTTTTATTCACAAAAAACGAATTCCCAGGTGAATGATCGACAGCCTTCTGTCATTTTCTTGTCCTCTCTGTGTGTATACTCTGTTCAGGGCACATGCCATGTGTGATTTTGTTTAATTCCTAACTCTGCAGAGAAGTAGCTATCTTCCTTCCTATCAGATGTGAGAACATAGGATAGGTTTTGTGGGAATCAAGTAACTTCCTTTTTTTTTTTTAAATTAATTTATTTAAATTTAAAACAATCTTATTTTACATGCCAATCTCAGTTCCCTCTCCCTCCCAACCTCCCAATCCCCCCAACCCACCCCCCATCCCAGGGAGGGTAGGCCTCCAAGGGAAACCATTAAAGTCTGTCACATCATTTGGGGCAAGGCCTAGGCCCTCCTCCCTCTAGGCTGAAAGAATATCCCTCCATAGGGAATAGGCTCCCAAAGTCCATTCCTGCACAAGGGATAAATACTGTTTCCACTGCTAGAGACCCCATATTCTGCCAAAGTCCCCACCCCAACTGACACCCATGTTCAGGGGGCCTGACTCAGCCTTGTGCTCTTTTCCCAGCTGTCAGACTAGGGTTTGTGGGCTCTCACTTGCTCAGCTCAGCTTTTTCAAGTAACTTGCTAGTGCTGAATTGGGTCACTCATTATACATTTGTCACACAAGCTGTCTTCTGGGTGCTCCCAAGCCTTTATAGCTGGTGACAAATAACAGTGGACCCTGCTAGAGTTAACTGATTTGAAATATTTTCTTTGAAACAATGATGTGCTTCAGTTGCAAGAGCCTAGGTCAATGATGTAGTTTTGGGCTCATGTCCTCCTTCTCTGTCTCTTCTTCAACTTCTGCAATGCAGCCCGGGACTGCTTTTCTTGTCTGGTCACCATATCACACCATCAGTCCCACTTCATCACATTGCTATTAGCCCACCTCTCACCCATCTCATCTTCACAGTCCTGTTTGTCAGCCTCTCTGAAGGATTCTGGTTTGTCTTGATTTAGAGTCATGTTAATAGTTTCCCTATAATTCCAATCTGTTGAAATCCTTTTGAATCTTGGTTCTATCATTCTCTTTGTCATTGTTCACTTCTTTATCCTTCATCCACCCATCAAACATCCTGTGTATTGGGTAACCCACATAGGGCACTTTGATGTAGCTCTCGCAACCTGACCTACAGGAGAACACTTCTTTGGACAGGTAGGTAATACTGTCTCCATTTTACATGTAAGAATAAGACTCAGCTGAGACGCAGTGTTTATTCCTTTGCTATTATTTTGTATGGGCTTTTCAGAGATCTACTTCCAGTTGTCTATAGTCCCTGACAACATCTTGTCTATCCTGGGCTGGCTTCAAACTCACTGTGTAACCAAAGATGGCTTTGAACTCCTGATTCCTCTGTCTCTGCCCCCTTAGTGAGCCATCATGCCCATCTTGCTTCTATTTCCTGTGCTATTCACAAAGGCATTGAACTGGTACTACTTATCATTAAGCCTTATAAGTCTATGACTGCTGGATGGAGAGGAATTGGGCTGACATTCCAAGTGCATGCCCCTGTGCTCCTGAGGGTTAAACAACACTGTGGATCATTGCTATTTAGGAATCTAATCCCATTACTAAGATCTCAAAATCATTTCAGACATCATCAGTATTCTTACCATGGTAAAAATCTCAGTTATTTATTTTTGGCTATAGGGCAAGGATATTCCTTAATTTTGTTCTTTTAAAATGGCTGAAAGACACTTAAGAAATTGCTCAACATCCTTAGCCATCAGGGGAATACAAATCAAAACAACTCTGAGATACCATCTTGCACCTGCCAGAATGGCTAAAATCAAAAATACCAATGACAGTGTATGGTGGAGAGGATGTGG